ACACACACACACACACACACACACGCCTTCACTGCTTCCACAGAGGGAAAGAGGGGAAGCAGAGTACAGTGGTTTATAGCAGCACACGTACAATGAGCCTGGGAATGTTAACTGTAGCGTGCATCCAACATAAGGAAACTGCAACGGTGACAAAAGGGACCAAGCTTTGTTGGGCAGCATTTTCTGCTTAAAATGGTAACAGTTTTATACGGATCTTATTAGAACAAGCCAATAATGATTTGCAGGGCTGATGGGAGATGGGGGAATTCAGAGGGCCCAGGACTCCCTGAAATGGTATATACAATTCTGTGTGTGTCTATGTACATTTTTCTATAGTTAATTGAATTGTTTTATGGGCCATGACCCCAAAAAGTTAAGAACCACTGATCTAAATGAAAACATACATACAATAAAGAACAAATTCTCACCCTAAAACATTACCTCTGAACCTCAGACATCAACATCGCCTTCCATTGAAAATTAAATGCCCAGCCAGGTCTGCGTGGCTCAGCTATTGAGCATCTACCTATGATCCAGGAGATCGGAGTTCGATTCCCGGTCAGGGCACATGCCTGGGTTATGGGCTCGATCCCCAGTGTGGGGCGTGACTCTCTCACTGATGTTTCTCTCGCTCTCTCTTTCCCTCTCCCTTCCTCCATCTGAAATCAATAAAGATATATTTAACAAAAGAACAACAACAAAAAGTTAAATGCTCATAATAAAAACACACAAAAGCATTTGTACATGAATTCTCTTTTTGGTTTTTTTGCTCAAACCCCTCCCCCACCAGAGCTGTCTGCCTTTCTATCTATGAGTCTGTCTCTGTAGCTCAGTTGGTTAGAGCATCATCCCGATATACAAATGCTTTTGTGTGTTTTTATTATGAGCATTTAACTTTTTGTTGTTGTTCTTTTGTTAAATATATCTTTATTGATTTCAGATGGAGGAAGGGAGAGGGAAAGAGAGAGCGAGAGAAACATCAGTGAGAGAGTCACGCCCCACACTGGGGATCGAGCCCATAACCCAGGCATGTGCCCTGACCGGGAATCGAACTCCGATCTCCTGGATCATAGGTAGATGCTCAATAGCTGAGCCACGCAGACCTGGCTGGGCATTTAATTTTCAATGGAAGGCGATGTTGATGTCTGAGGTTCAGAGGTAATGTTTTAGGGTGAGAATTTGTTCTTTATTGTATGTATGTTTTCATTTAGATCAGTGGTTCTTAACTTTTTGGGGTCATGGCCCATAAAACAATTCAATTAACTATAGAAAAATGTACATAGACACACACAGAATTGTATATACCATTTCAGGGAGTCCTGGGCCCTCTGAATTCCCCCATCTCCCATCAGCCCTGCAAATCATTATTGGCTTGTTCTAATAAGATCCGTATAAAACTGTTACCATTTTAAGCAGAAAATGCTGCCCAACAAAGCTTGGTCCCTTTTGTCACCGTTGCAGTTTCCTTATGTTGGATGCACGCTACAGTTAACATTCCCAGGCTCATTGTACGTGTGCTGCTATAAACCACTGTACTCTGCTTCCCCTCTTTCCCTCTGTGGAAGCAGTGAAGGCGTGTGTGTGTGTGTGTGTGTGTGTTGGAGGAGCACAAATAGGTAGGTCAGGTCTGCCCGAGCACCAGAAAAGCTCTTACACACGTTGGCATATGTCTGCAAATAGGAATTAGAAGCTGTTCAATATAATTGTCATAACTGTACTTCTTCTATATTCTTATTAAAGAAATGTTTCTCAAGTAATAAAGCAGTTTATATAACAACAGTCATTTTATAATATAGCGAAGCCCATGTACCTATGCTTATGTAAAATGATAAAAGAAAACACAGCAAGAGGCACCTATACACAGATAACAGTGCAGGTGGTGGGTCTCTGCTGTGCTACAGCTTGGAATTTTTTTTTTTTCTTTGGGAACAGAGAAAGGAGGGGTGAGGCCTCTTAGTAATCTGTGTTTCTGGCTTTTTTTTCTTCTAACATTGCAATGAGTATATTAGATGAAACTGAGGAAAAGATGTATTACAAAATGAAAACGTTTATGAGCTCTCCAGCATTTCAACCATGGAATCATTTTTGTTTCCAGTTGAATCCTGGTTTATTTAGAAAAAAAAAAATTAAAAATTCATATTGTACCAGGTGAAAATAAAAATACAACATCCTGCTCTGGCTGGTGTGGCTCAGTGGCTGAGCATTGACCCATGCACCAAGATATTGCCCGTTCAATTCCTAGTCAGGACACATGCCTGGGTTGCAGGCTCGATCCCTAGTTAGGGGGCTTGCAGGAGGCAGCAGATTGATGTTTCTCACTTTGATGTTTCTTTCTCTCCCTCTCCCTTCCTCTAAAAGTCAATAAAAATATTTTTTTTAAATACAACATCCTGAGGATCACGTGATAATGTGCCAGAGGACTTCATAGTTCACAAAAATATCATGAATATTAGCTCATGAGACTCGCAAAAATCATTGACGAGAGATGAGTCAAGAAATATGCCCATTTTGCAAGAAACCCAGCTCGGAGCCTTTGCTGAGGCCATGTGGCTAGTGATGGAATTCGAAGGAAGCTTTATGTTTCTAATTCCTAATCCTGTGTTATTCCTGGTTCTCTCCCACTGAGACTTAGGGAAAATCACCTTGGCTCCTGGAGTCCCAACTTGCAAATTTTCATAACACACTCTGATTTCATGCACTTGCAGAGTCGCTCTGAGAATCACATTTCACAGAACAGTTGTTCTCAAGGCGTGATCCCCATACCAGCACCAGGAGCATCCCCTGGAGCGTGTTAGAAATGCACATTCACTGGCCGCTCAGACCTGAATCGGAATCTCTCGGGCTGGGGCTCAGCAATCCCTGTCTAACAAACTGCCCAGGTGATTCTGACGCACCCTTGAGTTTGAGAACTACCAGTGGTAAATGTGAGAATATTTTGAAAGGAGCACATGTGCTTTTAGAAATAAGCTTTTTTTTTTCATTGAAGTAAAATTTATATATAGTGAAACCCTAAGATTTAAATGTACGGTTCTATGAATTTTGATACGTGCTCAGCACCACAGTCAAGGCATATCTGTCAGCACCCCATGGAGTGCCCTCATGCGTCCCCATCACTCCCCACCCCCCTTGGCAACCGCTTAGCGACAGATGTCATCAGGAAGTTAGAGGATTTGACGACGAGTTGCACATGGAAAGGGCAATGTTGATATTCTCTTTTTCCTTTACCATTTGTAGGTAACATCTCTCTTTAAATTACTAAGTATAGTTCTCTGGTTTTTCAGCCCATGGACCAAGCGTCTCTCAAAAACAGCGATGTTCTCGTCCTGACAGGCCTCACCCAGATTCCCACTGCAAACCCCGACGGCATGGTGGGGGAGTTCTTCAGCAACCTGGGTACGTGCGCAGCTCGGTCTTGATCTGGAGGAGATGTGTTAAGTTCATCTTCAGGACCTTGCTCCTGTAGTATTCTGCCCCGTCCCTTCATACTCATGCCCTCTGATGCCCCCTTTTAAGACCTTTCCCCCTTTTACTCCCACCCTTTTTGCCCATCCTTCAAAGCCAGGAGTCAACAAAAGCAGTTCTTGAGCAACTTAAATCTGAAGGTGCCGTAAAAATTGTTATTATAATGGTAAATTCAAATTTTTAGCATGTTATATAACAGATACCATTCTCTCACTTGTTTATGTAGAAAAAAATTTTTTTTTTAATATATCTTTATTGATTTTAGAGAGAGGAAAGGAGAGGGAGGGAGAGAGAGAAACATCAATGATGACGAGAGTCATTGATCGGCCACCTCCTGCACGCCCCCAATTGGGGATCAGGCCCACAACCCGGGCATGTACCCCGACCTGGAATCGAACCCCGATCACCTGGATCCTAGGTCGACGTTCAACCACTGAGCCACGTCCGGCCAGGCTATGTAGAAAATTCTTGCTTTGGGTGGGGATCTACTGACGGAGCAGGGCACTTACAGGTAGCAGTTGTCAAGCAAGGGAAGAATCACACCTTTGCTTTACAACTAATAGCACAAAAAAGACCATACAGCAGGTCCTCAAAGAATGCCATTGGTTCAGCAAAAGTTTCATTATAGGTCGTAGAGGTGACCTTGTTTGTATCGATTAGCCTCTGGTAAAACTGGTTTGTTTATAAAGTCTCAGAACTTATCAACACTGTTGAGTGAAGACTTACTCTCTCCGGACTTTGAATTCACAACAGTGATACCACTGAATAGGTGTATTTTTCCCCACGGATATTTGGTTGGTGTTATTTTTCTTTTGGGAGAAAATTAAATTGAGAGACTCGGGATATTTGCTCCCTGAAAGAAATTTATTTTTCTTTGGATATAGTTGTCAATGAAATCTAGAAATCCTGCCTTTCTTTTAAAAAAGCATAGGTTGGTTAATGCCTTAGCTCTGGCTACTGTAACAAAATACCATAGACTGGGGGGCTTGACAACAGACATTCATCTTTCTCTGTTCAGGCGGCTGGGAAGGCTGAGGTTAGGTCGCCAGAATGGCCAGGTACTGGTGAGGACCCTCCTCCTAGCAGATGGCCGGCCACCTTCTTGCTGTGTCCTCATGTAGCAGAGAGAAGCTGCTGTTATGTCTCTTTCTCTTATAAGGGCACTAATCCCCTCATGGGGGCTCCACGCTCATCTAAACCTAATAACCTCCCAAAGCCCCCTGCCCTTAATACCACCACATAGGGAGTCAGGGCTTCAGTGTGTGAATTTAGGGGAACATTCAGTCCATAACAGTTACTAAAGAGGAGTTAGTGAGCCCAGACCCTTCACCTGTAGCAATTATAAGTGATATTACCTCTGCTCTGGGGAAAAGAAATGGTCATCCTCTTATATGGAAGGCATTGTCCTTTCAGGTCTCACTTGGCCATGCCAATAAGCATAGTTTTTGTTGTTCTTTGCTGATACTAAGTCAAAGCAGTTTATTCTTACCTTGGAAAATGTATTGGGCTAGTCTCAAATAGAATCCTTGGTTTGTATATTTGTCTATAACCTAGAATCATAGACACAAAAAATTGTAAGTCTAAAGGAGACCTTACATCTAACCCACTGTCTCTCAGAGTGGGGTCCAGAAACCGCTTGCTGCAAGATCTAGGAGAGCACTTATTAAAAATACAAATATGGAGTCCTGCCACAAACCTAGTACGTCCAGCTCTGGGGAAGGAGAGCCAGAGGAAAAGTTGAATTTTCAGCGTGTTCCTGGATATTTTCCTGCAAACTAAAGCTTGAAAACCACTGACCTAGTTCACTCCTCTTATATAACCGATGAGGAAACTGAGGCCTATCTTGGCTCCCATGCTCACTTGAGTCTTGTAGCTGGTGGCAGATGCAGGACTAGAGCCAGTCCTGAGCCCTGACCACCAGCTTTGATTTCCCCCGCAGTACCACACTCTAGTAATAGCAAGTCAGCCAGATCTCAAGGTACCGCTGCTCGGTTCAGTTTGTTTTGAAAACCCAACAAAAAACAACTTTGAGAGGGCACTTAGATTTTTCTAAGCCACTTATAACTTCTGATATGATTATACCCAGCAGTTGCAATTCCTCATTTGATAATTTAGGCATTTAAAGTAGGGAGCATTTTCTTACAAACATTCATGATAGAAAATGCCACTAAAAAGAGTCAAACAGAAAAACTTGGCCTATTTTGTGATAGGTCATTCAGCAGTGGTGAGGGACTGAACAGAGACAAATCCAGCAGAGTTTTGAGCTGGAGCTAAAAAGAGGTGCTTGGAGGGTCTTCTGTCCTGAAGCTTGGCTGCCATTGGTAACCTTTGAAACCCAAACCCTCAATTGCGCGTCCTGTTCTGGGGACTGAGACATTGACTAGTCCTGCTCGTCGGTTCTGGACCCTCCCACCTTGGTGCTGGTCTTGAGAAGCAGATTATCGTAGATGTGAAGTGAATTGTACGGACGAAGTAGGAAAATGAAAGAAATCCAAATATTGTAAGTCCCATTCTACTTTTATAAAACTGTTCTTTTGACACTATTGTTTTCCTTCTGGCTTCAACTTTCCTAGCACTGACCGTCAGGAATGGGGGAAACGTGCTGGTTCCCTGCTACCCTTCGGGCGTGATCTATGACCTCCTGGAATGCCTGTATCAGTACATCGACTCGGCCGGCCTCTCCAGCATCCCCTTCTACTTCATCTCCCCCGTGGCCAACAGCTCACTTGAGTTTTCCCAGATCTTTGCCGAGTGGTATGTGCTTGTTCTCTCAGTTCTATTTTGATGCAGCACATTCCAGCAGTAAGAATGATCCTGGCTTTTCCTCACATAACTATGAAACTTCCATTCTGTGGCTTCCCCATATCTGTGATGTGAAGCTGTGTTCATGAAAGCCAGATCTGTTATATTGTTAAAGTTTAGAAGAATAGTTAGGAAGGGAGGAAGGATGTGAGACATAATTTAGCCAGCACTTTCCAGATTAGTAACAAAAACGTTATACATTTATCTTCTCACAAGCTGTCTTCTGCCTGTTACATAGTAAAATTACGTTCTAAATGCGAAACAGATTCTAAAGCCCAAGCTCATGTTGTCTAAATTTATAATACCAAATCTGAAAGAAAAACTATATAATATATATTTTTTCATTTTAATGGCATGATAGTTGACAAAGTTAAGTTTTATTACAGCAGGAAATTGATCCTAGGTAGGGTGGGTAAATTATTGAACAGTATGAAGTCAGTGAACCTTTTTAGGATTATTTAGATGCCTGTTTGAATCTAACTCACCTTGACCAAAAGACAGGCGGGATGGAGGAAACATTAACTTCCACAGTAGACCCAGTAGTGCCTTAGAATGGTGTTTCCAAACATTCAGGGTATGAAAACACGTAAATCGGTGTGTTTAATCCCTGTTAGTGGTGTGGTGACCTACTGGACACATTGCTCTACTGTTTCTCATTAAAAAGGGATGCGTACATCATTCTGTGTAACATACCTCATGTGCTGCCCACTCACCCACTTTCTTGAGGACTGTTTCCCCTCCCCTTTCAGTTGTGGTCAAGACCTTTCTTTCTGTATTTACATTCAGACAAGGCTGCTCCATCCCACATGCATGTCACTCATGTTTGTCACTAGGACCATAAACCAGTGTCTGCAGGTTGAGATACTTCATTATCCCCCATTGTGAGTGACCCATGATGCTTAGTGGGTGTGAAAAACAGGAAGCTCTGTCTCTGCAAAAGGCGTATGGCTTTCTCATCAACGTTCATCTCCATCACTGGAGCGAAAAAAGGACATTAGTGGGACAACTGGTGAAATCCCAGTAAAGTCTGGAGTTTAGTTCATTGTAACGTACTAATGGTAATTTTTAGTTTATCAAGTTTATCATGGTTATGATATTAACATTGGGGAGACTGGGCAGAGGCTACATGAGGAACTCTGTACCGTCTTTGCAACTTTCCTGTAAACCTGAAATTAATTTAAAACAACATGGTTACTTCTTAAGAAAAAATGTACTGAGGAATTTTAAAGGTTAAAAAAAAAAGGCTCATACGAGGTTTCTGTCCTGAGTGGTCGGTAGACACTGGGTTTTATTCACAATGAGATTCACTGGCAGGACAATTTTAAACAAACAGTAGTACTTACTATTTGCGCTGCTGCCACTGGGTGGCACCAAATGAGCCTGTGCGCCCAACTGACATGCTTATCTGCTTTTCTTCCTAAGGCTTTGTCACAACAAACAGACTAAGGTGTATCTCCCAGAACCACCTTTTCCTCATGCAGAGGTAAGAGACGGCGGATCGGTGTTTCACTCTCACATCCATGTTTCTCTCTCTCTTCCTCTCCCTCTCCCTTCCTCTCTCTCTAAAAAAATCTTTAAAAATAAAAGGTCTGATGGGATCAGAGCAAGAAAGAAAATGTAGATTAATGGCTATGGATGGAGATAACAGGTTATTAGATTTTTTAAATCCTTGCATAAACCCATACAGCCTTTTGGGTCCTAGATGAGGTGGCAGTGAAGTTCTCTAACTGCAGACCCGTTACTGTCTCTCGCTGACACATGCTGCCAGAGTGCGTGTGCGCTTCGTGGCCGACCTCTGTCCATTGACTGCGTGAGGAATTCTAGTCAAATATCTACTACTAACTTTTTAGTAGCATAACAGATTTTTTATTGTAAAGTCTTCTTTCCAGTTATTCATGTTAGTCATAAATGTAAAGTTTTAATGATGAAAATAGTATTTCAGTTTTTAAAATAGGGGGTTAAACGGTGCAAACGTCCAGTTATAGACACGAGTCATGGGGATGTAATGCACAGCATGGTGGCAGAGTTAACAATACTCCGTGTTTGAAAGTTGCCGAGAGAGCAGATCGTAAACATTCTCATCACAAGGAAAAAAACTTTTGTAACTATTTGGTAACAGATGTCAACTAGACTTAATGTGGTGATCATTTTTTAATGTATATACAAATCCTGAATCATGATGTTACACGCCTGAAACTATAATGTTATATGTCAATGATACCTCAATTTTTAAAGAGAGGGAAATCCTCCCTCCCTCACAGAATAGGTGTTTTCATGTAGCTGTGTACCCAGCTTTGCTTCCATTGTCTTTTTCCCACCAAACATTGTATCATGGGCATTTTTCTGTGTGCCTCAGGATTATTGCTGCTTAACATGCCGTAGCATGTCATAGAAGCACACTGAATGTTCTTAATCATTTTCTCTAGCAGACAATAGAGTTTCTTCCAATTTTTTTATATATATGTGTGTTTTATATTTATATATATTATATATTTTTTAAGGGTGTTTAAATTGGTGTAAGCACTTTAGGAAACTGGTGCTATCTGCTACAGCACATGGTAATCTGGATAGTCAAATGTAGTAGTCAGCTGGACAGGTAGGTCCGATTGGTGAAACAAGAGATGCATTTATCTTCGTTTCTGCGCATTGATCAGGAGAACTGCAGGAACTCTAGGTGATGCCTGAAAAGTGACTTAAGTTACGTGCAAAGACTTGCTGCTATTCTTAGAGACCCATTCATCTCCTTGACGTCTCTGGATACAATAGACTTATTTGTCTTTCAGACAGCCGCTCACCCATTTAACTGGGGCAAGTAATGATTTTGGCCAGCTAGGCTATAAAAAGAATGTCAGTTTTGTTTGCATGTAACTTGGAAGGAAAGCAGGAATTCAGTGCTTGCTCCCTACTGTGCATTTTCCATCTGAGCATGTGACGCCCCATGGCAGTCTCCAAGCCAGTCATGCCGCCTTGCGAATAAAAGCAAGTCTCTCTAGATTAAAGATTTAATCTTTAAAGTGAAGAGAGTTTGGCTTCCATTAGGGGATTGGCCCATTCTGGCCACATTTTCACTGTTGGGGTAACTTCAATTGGCCTTGGAGTTGTAGACAGAGCTCCCCTCTTGTCCATTAGGGATTGCTTCAGGATTAAACCACGTCATAGATAATTTCATTATCCATTAAACAGCATCTCCAGACAATATTCCCTTTGGCTTAGTTGATCACTTTAGAGTCTCTAACATTTGGACTTTTGTCATCTGACTTTTTGGTGACAGTGGGGAGGTGGGGTCAGGGTCGAGGCAGTAGGCAGTGTCTGGGTAGTGTCCTAAGATGCTGTCTGTGGCTGTAACTGTACATGGCGTTGCCTTGGGCCGGGCCTCATGCTGGGAAGGTATTATCAAGTACTAGGCTGGAAATGTTTGAGGCTGTGCGTGGTCCGCTGCTTACTGTGGCTGTGGCATGAGGATTCATGTCTTCCAGATTTCTGAAAGCCAGTTTGGTCTCTGTCTTTATTAAGTTGCCACAGTAATTGCAGCTGTAACTCCTCAAGAGGAGGACTTGAGTGGGTAAATGGTGGCTCTTGTGGTGAGGTTTTTATTGGTGACAGAACTTGGTAAGTCACGTTTTGGGAAGGTCACCTACTATTGGGGACTTGCGGGCCAGGGCTCAGAGGTCAGAAACCTGTAAAGGAAGACAGGACTGCATCAGGCCGTAACAACCTGAAAAATTTACATTGAGTGTGTTAATGTTATCAAAAGGTCCTGGCTGTGAAAGTTACATTGTAGGTAAAAATGTCAATCTTTGGCAAATTATAATGAGATTTGTTTGTATCTTTTACTTCTGGTCACCTCCATGTTGTAGTTCTCCCTTCCACAGTAACCTTTTTATCCCTTCCAGCTCATTCAGACCAACAAGCTGAAGCACTACCCCAGCATCCACGGTGACTTCAGCAACGATTTCAGACAGCCGTGTGTGGTGTTTACTGGGCACCCTTCCCTCCGGTTTGGGGACGTGGTCCATTTCATGGAGCTCTGGGGAAAGTCTAGTCTCAACACTGTCATATTCACAGGTGAGTCAAAACCCTGCCCTTTCCACTGGGCACCATCACTGAGTGCACCTGCCAGGTAGAGCCCCAAGGACATGCCTGTTGATTTTAGAGACAGGGGAAAGGGTGGGGGGAGAGAGACATCGACCAGTTGCCTTCCCATACACATACCCACCGGGGACCAAAACCACCTAGGTGTGTGCCCTGACTGGGAATTGAGCCTGTGACCTTCGGTGTACAGGACGATGCTCCAACCAGCTGAGCCACCCGGCCAGGACCAGGGCTACGGCCAGTTTTTTTAATAAGGCATAAGTTTGAACTTTCTTTTGTCATAAATACCAAAGGATAAAGAAACCACAAGGGAAAGAGTCAGGTAAAGCAAAATGTCCTGTTAAATAACTGCTAGACCACTCCGAAGTCATTGTTTTATATTTTGTCTATTGCAGGGGACACTGAGCCCGCCCTGGTCTTCCCCAAATTTCATCTAATTTTTTTGAGCATCTGTTAATGATTCTGGACTGAATAAGTTATTACTATGATGGTTGCCAGATGGCAATATTTTTAAATTTTCATTATTTCTTTTACCTTTATTAGTTGGCATGTTGTTGCAAACAAGAGCTTTCCCTTCTCACTCACTTATCCCTCATTTATCTCATCTGTCCCTTTATGTCAGAACCCTTGAGCTCACACCCAGACCTGCCAGCCCACCTCCATCCTAGCGTCATCCTAGCTTCTCCCTTTCCCTTGGTAAATGACTCCACTCTCGGGGGATGGGGAGGAGCCAGGCTCCCATCACCCTGGAGCACTTACTGGCTCACCCTCCCGACCCACCCCCACCGGCTTGGCCTTGATCACACCAGCTGCCTCCTTGCTTGGCAGCTCCTCTGTTGCCTGCATTTTAATTTGTATTATTTGTGCTTCCCTTAGAACCTGACTTCTCATACCTGGAAGCACTGGCTCCATACCAGCCCTTGGCCATGAAATGCATTTACTGCCCCATTGATACACGACTGAATTTCATCCAAGTGTCAAAGCTGCTCAAAGAAGTGCAGGTAACCAAGGCAGCTGTGCTGGTGTCTTCCCTGTGACCCGTGTCCTGTGACCTCTGGGGGCGGGTCTATGGTGCGAGGGCCAGGGTACCTGGCTGCTTTCCTTATCTTCCTCACTTAATGTCTGCGGAGCGCTGGGACATTACTGGTTGCCCTCGAACTTCAAAGTAGTGACCTTTATACCCTGAAAGAAAGTTTCCATGCTAAAGAAAGCAACATTGGGAGGAAAAGAAGGCATAAACAGCTATTATTTTTTATGAGGACCATCTGTGTCCAGTTAAAAGCTCCCTTCCCCCCGCCCTTCCCTGAAAAAGTCCTCCCCGCGGAGCTGAGGCACTTACCTGAGCCGCGCACTGGGCCCTTGCTGCGCATTGGGTCAGCTTTTTGTTAGAGGTTTGGTTTGGTTTTTGTTCTTTTGTTTTGAAGTTTTTTCACTTTTCATTTTCTGCCATAGAGGGAGGAAAGTAGTTGGGGTAGTGTGGTCGGTAAAAGGAAGAAATCTGGACAGAAGAATGTAGAGGAAGAGCAGGGAATGAAAAATCACAGCCTGGGTCAGCTGGCGCTGGGGCGGGGTGTGTTTTGACAGTTGGGGGCGGGGGAGGCTGGGTGGAGTTGTCAGGAAGGAAGCTGAGAACAGGCCAGAGGGAAATTTCTGGTTTCCCCCCACCTCGGTGTCTACAGGACCTTAAATGAGGCCCTGCACTTCTCGTGACTCTTCAGCTGGTCACTGAGCAAGGTGTGAGTAGCCTTGGCCTAGGTCAGAAGTCCGCTTTCCTCCTCTCCACAGACTGACCTCAGGATGAGAGGCACCAACACAAAACTCAAAGGGTGACAGGCAGAGAGGCCGAAGCCCCAGGACGGCAGGGATGCGGGTTGTGGCGGTCACTGTTTTGCTGCCCCGCAGGGGAGTGTGGGCTTTCTCTAGACGTGACTCAGGCACTCAGCCAACCTTTGGCCTGGCGGAGCGATGTGACAGCCCACTGCGTGCGCACCCAGCACGCCAGTAGAGACCTGTCAGGCCCGTTTTCATTACCGGGAACTTCACACCGCAGTCCTTAAGCCAGCAGTGTCCTCGCCCAGCCCCTTGGTCGGGTGCTAATACTGGAAACGGGCGGCCACCTGGTCTCCAGTGTAAGAAAACGCAGGGAGAGCCCTCAGGCTGTGACTGGAGCCGGATGACTTTGAGACAGTTGTAAGATATCCTCGCTCGTCAACATGGCTGGCAGTTCAGGGGCTTGCCCGGAGGTGTTTACTCTTTCCCTGCCCTGTGCTGGTCTCTCCTCACTGGGTACTTGGGTTTGCAGAAAATTCAAAGTGGCCTGGAAGGGGTGAGCCTGAGCACCCCAGAAGGTGGGAGTAGATAAGGAAGGGGCTTCTCAGTAAGCTGCTCTGCCTCACTGCCTCCTCGGTCCCTCAGCCCCTGCACGTGGTCTGTCCCGAGCAGTACACGCAGCCGCCCCCTGCGCAGGCCCACAGGATGGACCTGATGATCGACTGCCAGCCCCCACCCATGTCCTACCGGCGGGCCGAAGTCCTCGCCCTGCCCTTCAAGCGGCGCTATGAGAAGATCGAAATCATGCCAGAGGTAAGCCGTGCTCGTCTCGGGAAACCCGGGTCATCCACCTGAGTCTCTGGAAGAAGACCCTGGCTTTCTTTTGAGTTTGTGTCAAATGTAGGTGAACCAAAGAACCCCTTAGGCCCTTAAGCAAGTAGGTGGGAAGAGAGGCGGGGTTTTCATTTCTTCATTCACATTTCTCAAGTAATGAAGTGACAGCTGTTGACACCAAGACTGCTGGGCTGCCGCTTTAACGTTCTGCGTGTGACCGGGAGGCCAGGGCCCACCAGTGCCTGGGGGAGCAGAAATGCCATGCGCTCTGTCCTTACCCACCTGGGGTGTGGATCTTTTCCTGCTTCCTGGACCTCATTTATGAGTGAGGGTCAAGTTTCACCAAATTCAGGGATAAATGGAGGAGATAAGAGTAACCAAAAAGCAAGAAATATAAACTTTATATTATTTGCACGCATTCTAGTATAATGTAAAGATCGTGGTCTACTGACATTATCTATTGAAGTCTAAATAGTTTAGTGACATGGAATCTGAGCCTGTTTTAATAGGGAAAATGTTAAAGAGCATATTGTGCATGTGGGACCTTTGCGTAAGCTGCCGGAGGGCCGGGTCTGAGGGGAAGGCCGGCAGCGGTCAGCGCCCAGCTCCCGTGACGACGGGCAGCTTGGGCAACGCCGCAGGAAGCCGTTTCTGCTGCCTTGGCCTTTTGAGACAGTTTGCGCATGTTTTTCACAAACAGTAAAAAGAGGTAGGAGATTTTATTAAAAGCATTATCCCCAAAATCCTCTTTGGCGTTTAGAATAACATCCAGATCTTGAAGTCCCCGGGCGGTGCTCCTTTCCATGCCCGACACGGGCTGGTGTGGCGCGGCCAGGTGCCGTCAGGGGCGCCCAGTTTCCAGTATACTCAGTCCCTCCCAGAATTAACCTAAGCTATTATTCTAATTAAGAGCAATAATTGACTCAGAAAAAATTGATTCAGCAACACAAAGCCATCAAGATTATTTTTAATACAAGCAGTCTGACTTCATTAAGACACATGCAAGTAATCCACAAAATATACCCATTCCTGTTCCACTCATGGCTCCTTCGGAGGGAGCCCTGGCTGGAGAGGGCAAATGTGGGGAGAACGGGCAAGGACGAGCCCCCCCCTTTCCCCAGCCTGCAGGGGCCGTTTCACAAATGAGGTAGGATGTAGTCCAGGCTCAAGGTTCTGAGGCCCTGGAGCACATGCCAAATGTAGTCTCTCCAGGCAACTCTTCACCCCTTGGGGAGTGAGCAGGGTGACCACTGGAGACGATCTGAGAACTCATTTGTAGTTAAGACTGGTGATCAGGGTGGGAGTAAGCAAACTAGATGATTTCAGTCCAAGCCAAGTTAAACTTTAAAGCAATGACACCCGTTTCTTATAAGCCTTATAAATTGGTCATAAAGATAAGTTTTTGAAGGGGGAAGTCACGAGCACATTAAGCAGTACTGGTGGAAAGTACTGCTCCTCAGGTAGACTACTTTGAGGGTCATTTGGATGTTGTAGTCTGCTAATTCTTTAAAAGGGAAAATGTTAAGTTTTGTTAGAGGTGGTGAATGCAGCCCCTCGAACCCTCCTTTCGCTCTCAGCTGAGCAGCTGACCTGCATTTCTAATTGCAGCTCATTCCTGAGAAGTGGCCAGGGCTGTGACCCTCCTGATGCTGAGCACCCTGGATAACATGCAGTTAGAATGCAGTTAGAATGCAGTAGGCTCTCCAGTGCTCCTCTTTTAGGCCACTTCCTGTCACGACCCAAGGGAATAAAAATGCTTTTAACTCTGAATTCCCCATTATCCTCTCTCCATATTTCACTAGCCCAGCCTCTTAACTCCCCTATTTAATTATAATGAAAGTAACATGTTTATTGACCGTCCCTATGGGAAAAAGCTAAGCAGGTTCCATGGATTATCACCCAGCTCTATGAGACAGGTAGTTTTTCAATTTGATATGGTCTCAACGAGCAGGGAAGGGTCTTTTCTATCTCTGAGAAAACCTCAGGGGGTCACCAGTATGTTTGTCCTTTAACCTAAATGAGAGTGGAGCCCCCAGATCAATGCGTGCTGTTTCTGGCACACAGCCCACAGCCTCCCCGGGGACTCGTTAGACATGCCGGTTCTCAGTCCCCCTCACTCCTGCTGGGTCAGGCTCCAGAGTCGGCCCAGACTGGCCCAGCAGCCGGGGCATTAACGAGCCCTCTGGGTGATTCTGATGCACTCTAAAAATCTGAGCACCATGGGTAGGAGAGACCTATCCTGGATGGGCCAGTTTTCAGTACAGCAAAAGGGAGCCAGAGTGGTGTTTTCAAGACTGAAATAAAAATATTAAGACATGGACAGAGAAACCATCTTACTAATTAGTTTCTGGCATTTCTCATTCCCATGTTGGCTTGTCTGTTCCCATTTTAAATCACCAAAAGGAAAGAATAAATCTGCCTGTTACACCTTCTGACACTGAGCCAGAGAAGGAAGAGATTGGCTTTGCTGGGGGTTGGGGGAGGTTACACAGCACCCTATTCTGTTTACAAAGCCCCTCTCTCAAGTCCAGGAGGAGCAGACTATTAGCTTTGGCCCTGAGACCCGCCCTGTCCCCACCTGTGCCACTGCAAGTCCCTGGGTAACTAGCTGCATCTTCCCGTGGGCCAGCCTTTAGGTCAGATGTCCTCGGGGAAGGGTCCTTTCCGTGTGTTGAGAACTCCAGGTGGAGCCCCTGCTGGTAGAGGCCCTGAGTGCAGATGCCTGCGGACTTCACACCACAGGCGACACCAGGCTGCCCCAGCTCTGAAAGAATGGCTGGCTCTCAGTAGCTTGGCATTTTTTTTTT